AGGATAGGTAGCATTCTGATGGATTTACAAAAAAATATTCTATAAGATAGTTTCTGCCCCTTTAAAGCAGAGGTTCCCAACCTTTTGGGCACCAGGGACCGGTTCCATGGAGAGAGGTTTTTCCATGGACCGGAGAGTGCGTGGTTTTGTGTGCTGCCTGCATCCTGTGGATGGGGCTTTGCTTGTTTGTGCAGACCGGTTGCTGGCATGCCACAGCCCGGTACCTGTCCACGGACCGGGGGTTGGGGACCCCTGCTTTAAAGCATGCTGTTTGTATATTTACTCTGAATAATACTCAGCTGAAAGTACGGTCCCTTCCCCCACTTGCAAAATCCTAAAAATATCCTAAATTTAATTGAGGATAAAAATATATCATTAGGTGTGCATCATTTGCACTATTAGCACTAGTGGCTTTCTTTACACCTCCAAAATTAAGAGGCTGAAGGCAGCCTTTTCCCAACCTGGGCTTTCTAGATGTGAAAAATTAAAACTCACTCCAATGATCCCTGGCTGGGTATTCTGGCCCTAACCTACCCAGAAAATATCAGGTGAGAGCTGTCCGTCTTAAGAGTTTGCTAATTTGAAGGAGGAAGGAAAACAGCAAGTTAGAACAAAACATTTAGAAGAAATAAGTTTCTTTCTTTAAAGATGCCAGTTACAGTCAAAACACTCATCTGTTAATGTGCAAACATTTGAACGATAGAAAAGGTGAATTATAGAAAACAATCTGCACAAATGCAATCAAGCAGCCAGCCAAAGAACTGATAGAAGATACTAACAGAACTAAAAGACACTATAATAGCATTGCAGTGGAACCTGTGAATACTTTCCCATGTTTTCAGGTGAATTCTTTTCTCCAGAATTGGTAGCATTTACTCACTCTAGAAGTCTGGGGAATCCACAGAATGTTCGTGCCATAACATTTCATTCCAAGGCCCTGGCTTTATAATTTCCCTTTCTTAGAGACAAGGCAAAGTCTATGAGGATTCACCCAATCTTACAGGATACTAGCAAAACGTTGTTGCCATGCCTGGCATACAGCAGCCAGCTCCTGCATTTGTTGACTACACATCCACTATTCCTGACTTTTCATCCATGAAGTTATCTCAAACAAAATTAGAATTTCAGCAGCCAGTTGTCAAAGACAGCAAAAAGAAAATTGAGTTCTTTCCTCATCTCAGCTAATTCTTCTAGCCTCTGAAGCTATTCTTTTGTCACTAAAGCCAATGAAGCATCCACAAATAAAAACAAAGCATTTTTGCTCGGAACTATTAAGGTTGGCATACTAGCACCTCACTGGCACTAAGAGACTGTGGAAGGAGAATTTTTCCTGATTTCCAAGGTGCCATTTTGGAATTTTAAGAGACAGATACATAAGGAGACAAGAGGATGAAAGAATGCTGGTTCTAGTTTTTTTTTAATGGCATCAATCAACACAGCCATATACAAAGGTGCACCTGTCAGGTTGATGGAAGGAACAAAACAGATGGAGAATAAAGGTAAGTCTTCAACATACAATCATTCATTTAGCAACCATTCAAAGTTACAACCATGCTGGAAAAAATAATGACCAGTCCTCACATGTATGACCATTGCAGCATCCATGTAGTAACATGATTGTGATTCAGATGCTTGGCAATGTTTATGATGGTTGCATTAAAGGTAATACTGTAATACTGTAAACATTACAGTTCTGAATCATCTGGGATCAATCTATTTTCTGGACTAGGTTTACCACTAAGTCCCTGCTGAACTTTCAGACTGGTGATGATGTTCTCTGGTACATTATTTTTAAGATTAGAGTGATGGACATGAAGGAGAAGGTCTTCTTGGGATGAATCCATAGCTGGAGAAGTGAAAGAATTGCCTGGGAATAAAGCAAGGGCTTTTTTTCCTTAAAAAAAATATGCTTCGGTTCTTATACTTTTGCTAGGGAAACTGCCTTGGGCTCTGTTTCGATATGGTGGCTCTGAATAACTCATAAATCCTAACAAACAAGAGAGACAGTTTGTTCCACAGCTTAAGAAAAACAGCACTAGTTTTTCCCAGATGCAGAGTCCGCTCAGCCCCGATCCCAGCAGCTTCAACCAAGAACAAAAATCTCATTGCTTGAAGTTCTGAAGTAGGGGGTGAGGGAATCTTTTTCTAAATAAGCCACCAAATCAAGGGAAAAGAAAGATAACCGAGGATCCGTGCATATAAGGAGGATACGGCCCCAGCTGACAGAAAATCAAAAGCCTCCCTACAACATGGGGGTCAGATCAATTCCCAGCTGACGACTTTCGAAGCTCCTTTTATGTGGAAGGCTGGGGTCACTGAATCAAGGAAGAGAGCAGGGAAAGGATGGTGCGTGCTTTTGACGGGCTGACAGCTAAATTCATGCTTTGAAACAAACACTTTTCTCAGGAAAGATGGAGAAGAAGGGATCCCTATGAGCAGGGGGTCTTCAAACTTGGCCCTTTTATGACTTGTGAACGTCAACTCCCAGAATTCCTCAGCCAGCATGCCTGGCTGAGGAATTCTGGAAGTTGACGTCCACAAGTCATAAAAGGGCCAAGTTTGAAGACCCCTGCCTATGAGGGATGGAACTCAGCAACCGGCCAGATCTGCTCTGCAAGCTTAACATGGAGCCGCTGCCTTGTGGGGTGAGGGAGTGGAACCACAAACCAACAGCCTTGGACCACAAGGGCACTGGTTGACAGGAATGGTAGCCCCAAACTGCATAAGTACTCCATAAAGAATACGAGAAACTTGGGAGTTTAACCTATAGGACCATTAAAAATCATTGCAACTTGACTTTTTCAACCCAGAGTCTCTCAATTGTGCTTCACCACCCACCCGCTATTCATGACTAGATAGACTAAGATGAGATGTGAACTTTAGAGCACAGACCAAAGATTTTAGATTGAGGGAGTTAGTTTAGAACAAACACCAAAGTCCGCTCACATCCCCGATCCCAGCAGCACCCTTTCTTCTACCATCTTTTTAGAGCAGGAAAACTTTTTATTTAGGAGCGTCTTTGCCATTTAAGGTGTTTTAGTGGTTGTGGTAGGTACAAGTGCCTGAGCATTGGCTGTTTTTCTGCATTTTCCTCTTCTAAAACGGTAATACCACTCCAGGGATTTTAAGTTCTTTTGCCCACTGCTCCTCTATCGATATTTTAATTTTTTAAAAAAGATTCTTCAGGTAACTTTTATTAGCCCTATTTTCCTGCTGAAAGTATGAATCTATGGGCATAGCCCAGCAGCCAGCCAACCAGCCAGCCCTTGGTGACATAGCTCATTTTCAGCTTACTGATAAGGAAAGAAAGTTTGTTCACTCCACAGGTTGCCTATTTTCAGGATACACCTCCTTCCATGCAATTGAAGTTGCAACCAATATCAGCCTCTGAGGATGCACAGTGCAGAGTCACAGGTTCTCTAATTTCTAGGCATAAACCAAAGCCAATAAAAGAGGGACAAGACAAGTAATGGCAGATCCAGACTTTGCTTGTATTAACCGAGATCAAATCTGATCCCTCCCTTTCCCAGAGTATGCTTCTGTCCACCACAAGCTAGTGGATACTTGCATTTCAGAAGTGCAAAACCACACAAACCCCTCCAGGGATCCTCCCATGAATTTAATGGCTGGGATCTGCTTAAAGCTGTCTTTGCCACAGCTGTCAGATGAGCTGGGATTACTACTCAGGGGGCTGGGAGGATTTGCTGGGTACAGCCCAGGGGCACCAGGTTGAGAAAGGCTGCCTTATAGGGCAGGTTCTCCCACAGGAGAGGATGATGTGCTAGCAAAAAGGAAATAATTACCCCTATCACACCCCCATCCAGGCTTGGCACTGACTCAGGTAGTACTTGTTTCAAGCAAAAGGTTAAGAAAAATAGCTCCAAGGATCTGCAGTTGCTCAATACTGGAGCTAAATTTAAATAAATAAATCTCTTATTTAAATAATACCTGAAATAAATAAATCTCAATCTCTTTTTAAGAAGAGATGGAACAACCATTTGTCCGGAATGGTATAGGGTCTCCTACTCGAGCAGGAGGTTGGACTAGAAGATCTCCAAAATCCCTTTCAACTCTGTTATTCTGAAAATAAATAATAATGCCCCCCCCCAACTAAAATATTCCTTTCTGTCTATATAAAGAACACATTGCCTTTAATCTTCTACATCCAGTAGAGTTCTGTCATGGACAAGGGAGGGAGCCCCAAAAATCATTTCACTCAATTTCAAAATTCAATTTCACCTTGTTCAGAGCGGAACCTCGATTAACTCGTAGAGAAAGCAGGAGAAGGTACCCGAGAAGTTTCTAGTTCTCAAAAAACATGATCTTCTGTTCCCAGTCTAGTCTGAAGGAATCCAAGAAGCATAGATAAGTCTGGGAAGATTAGGTCAAACCGAGAACGTTTGAAAGTTCAGTCGCACAATTATATCTTTAAAAACAAACAAACATACGCAGCCTGATTCTGCAGGCCGTTCGCCATAGAACCGTTGCGATTCACATTTCTTTTATAGGTATAGAGTAAAACCACACAGAGAAATAAAACTGGGGGCAGCAGGATTTGGAGCGTGCATACACCGAGAGTTGGAATACAAAAGCAACACCTCACCATATTTTATGTTTGCAATGCAAACCCAGATTCCCTATTCAGCAGAAAACCCCCAATCCAGCTGCGTTCCCGGGGGCTTACTTTCGAGTAAGAGCGCCCCTTATTCCAGCCTGGGGCCATTTCTTCACTAGCGATTTATAACCCAAACAACCTTCGCCGGGTCGTAGAACAGTAAAAAATAAAGCTCTTGCAATCGGCCTTAGCTCCTTTGCTTCGGTTAAGCACAAAAACTATTTTTTTTCCAGTGTTTCTTCTCACTCTATTAAATCATTCCTCTCGCAAATCTCACCGCGGCGCGTCAGGGTTGTTGGTTCCCTCCCCCCCCCCCTCCGGAGGTTACCAAAACCGGCCCACAGCGGGTTTGCAAGCCCTCGGGCCTAAGGGGCGGGCCGCTTACCTGCAACGGGCTCCATCTCGGTCTGATTCTTGCTGCCTCCCCTCTTGGGTTGCGGGGCCAAACAGATACCCTTCCCGCGCAGCAGGGCTTGCAAAGGAGCGCGCTCGCCTGGCCGAGGGACGCAGCGCAGCCCGCCGGCGCAGCTGGGCGTATAGACGCCGCAGGACTCGCCTTCCTCCCGGACTCCACAGGCTTTCTCATCGTCGCAAGTAGCTTTACGGTCGCTCTCGGGGGAATCGCAGCCGGCCGGAGAAGAAGAAGGGCAAGCGGCCCCGATGTCGCCGTCGGGCTCCGACGCAGCAGCAGAAGCAGCCACGGCCGTCACGCATCCCGTCGTCGGGACCAGCAAAAGCAGCAGCGCCGTCCCCAGGCAGCGAGCGAGGAGCATCGTGCACCGACGACCTGAGCGCTCGGAAACAGCGCGCTGCAGCCGAGCGCGTCTTAAATGCCCACGGCTCGCCGGCCTCCTTCCGCGCCAGGTGTAGCCAGCCCGGTTGGACAGCCGCCAGCCGGCAGGGTGTGGCTGCCGGCTGCCAAAAGCCGACCGGCGTTTCTCCACCGCTATTCCCTTTACTCCTAGGAAAGTGAGCAATCCGACCAATTCTAGCGAGGCGATCCACTCCCATGGAGTTCAACAGCTGAAGTTTTGTGTGGAGGCGCGCGGGGTGGGGCTGAACTGCACGAAGAACTGCCTTCTTATCGCGTACGTCGTTCCCGGAATATAGTACCGTACTAGGAGTTTGTGAACCCAGGTCAGACTTCGGGGTGATCCGTTGAAAGCAAGGCAGGGGTAACGGAGAGAACGCCGATATAAAAGCCGGGAGCCTCAATTCCAAAAACCGTGCCCTCCCAGAATTGTGGCTTGTGGTGGGAAGTGGTTGTGATGCTGTTGTCCCCCCCCCCCCCAAGCGTGGAGAAACGGAGAAACCTCTTTTACTCAGCTTTTCGGAACTTGTTACTATGATCCCGTTGGACACAGCTAAATCATTCTACATTGCGACTTTTTCATCCCCTTTGTAAGGACAGGTCAAGAACACAGCCTGCAGGGCGGTGGGCTTTTATTCATAAGTAAATAAAGGTTAATGCCTTCCCAAACAAAGTCCAGGCATGCAGAATTTTATTTCAATTGTTTTGTTTTAATTGAAGGGCATTTTAAAAGCTGTTACCCAATTTGTTTATCTTGCTGCACCCAAAGATAGCCTATATGCAATGCTTTACCAGTTGGATTTCTTCCTAACACAAAACTTAAAACATTTGGGGTGGGGGAGGAAGAGCGAGGGAAGAAGCCTCACCCTGAGCCCCATGTGCTTGTTTGTGGTTTAGGCACAATTAGTGGGAATAAATTGCTGACACATTAGCTCCTCTCTCCTTGCAACCGAAGGAACTCATTTTTAAAAACCAATCCCTTTGCTTCTCTACCTTTTATAGCAGCCTGACTTTTTCCTGGCAAGGCGAGGACACAACATCGCTTTCCCTGCAATCAGGAATTTGTGGAAAAGACAGGTGGAAAGCCAGGTTTATGAAAATGGCAACTTAAATCTTTTCTGAGAAAGTGTGCAAAATGTCAGAATCTTTCAGTAGCACTTTTATAGTAAAGGATTCTAAATTCAGTGGGACTTGAGACAACCTATATGATTTAGTATTGCCATTCTATGGCTCTTTTCCCACAGATCCTAGGTTTATGATTGCTGGACATAGATAGCATCACTATTAATTAAAATCAAATCCACTCTTCATTGACCTGTTAATGGAGCTGTTGTTGGCAGAAATAGGGACATTCTTTGCCACCTCCATGATTTTTTTCTGACTTCCCAGTCTGGTCCCCAGCCCTGGAATTTCCTGATAGTTTTCCACCCCTCTATTAACCAGGTCTGATCTGCTTAATTTTACAAGATCAGCCAAGTTAGTTGCTGCCTTCCAGACTTTCATTCTTTAGGCAAGTGACAAAGTGCTAGTGCCAGACCCTAGAAAAATATTTGCATATCAACTCCAGAGAAATTGGGGGGGGGGAGGGCTGTAGGCCAATGCCTTGTTTGGAAGTGTGCACAGTTTTCCAAGAAATAACTACAAAAGTAAGTTTGGGAGATAGCATCCTACAAGGTCGAGATGTGTAATTCCAGTGTTTCTCCCACCTCCACCACCTTCATCTTCTGGTAAACTGGATATCATTGCAACCACTTTGTGAACAAGCTGCCATGAATACAATTTTTGCAACCAGGGCAGCCTCATGCTATTGAAGTTCCCTTTCTTCCCCCTGGCTCAAAAGTAAAGTTTATCCATGTTCTAATTATATAATTTGCTTTCTTTAAAAGTTGGGGAATACAAACCAGGAGTTCATCAGCTCTGTCCATTGGGGGGGGGGGGCTGCCAAGCAAGCATATGAGTCTTGCAAAGTCACTTTTCAAAACCAACCCAAGTGATGATATGGTTATTATTATTTTTTAACCATAGGCCAAGAAGGGAAATAGCTGGGCAATTGGATTATGCAACCTAGTTTTAACCATTCCAAACATTCTGCCTGGATTGAAAATGAAGAGGGGGGGGGGAGCAAGAGAGAAATGAAGACAGCCCATCTCCAATTCCCAAGGAACAGCAGGAGGAAAACAAACAGGCCTTGGCCAGGAAATTGTTGGCTGATTGCAGGCTTTTTGTTTGTTTATAAATGAAACAGTTCTGAAAATATTCCCAGGGAGTTTAGATTAACTCAGAAGAAAGGGAGGTACAGAGCAGTTGTTAAACCTAGCTTGAACTACTTTACAGGGTTCTAGTGAGGATAGAATTAGGCTACCAGATCCGACTTGCAAGACCTCAGCCAACCATGAGGGGGTAGGTAAAATGAGATGACTCTCCCAATCCGGTCCTAAACGGTATATTTTAGCCTCCTGGGAGAAGGGCAAGCTACTTTTAATTAGCTGCTGATGAGGCCACACGTTGTCCAAAACTAAGATTTGTTTAGACATGGTTTATTCAATAAAATGCAACTGGCTAGGTTTATACAACACACTTAAGTTACAAACTAGAGTGTCCAAACCACACTGGCTGGGTTCGCGCACAACATATTAAGCCAAAGCAAACCACAGTAGGGCGTATTATCTGGCCTGGTACTTGAAATGGTTGGCATAATCAGATGTGTTATACAAACCAATCTGATAACTAGGCTGACTTCTTTGGTGGCATAGGGAGTTTTTTGAACCAAAACAAGTATACTTACCTTGGGGCTATGTGTAGTTGCAAATCCAAACATTAGGTTAGCTCAGTCAACTGCAGTTTAGTTCCTGTATAACAGGAGGAAAGCTTGCGGGTGGGGGGTAAATATTACTTCTGGCATCCCATTTACTACCCTGGAGCCCTATTCAAGTAGGGAAGGCTGAAGATTAGGGATTTCTGAGAAATTTTTGTAGAGGTTAGGGAGAGGAAAGGGTGCCATTACGTTTGCAGAGGCTTACAACTCTCGCCATGCTCTTTAAAAATTCCAAATATCGGGAAACTGATTTTCCAGAGGTTTTTCCAAGACAACAGCAAAAAATAAAAGACAGGTAGTCCTCGATTTATGAATACAATTGGGAACTTCCATAGCTAAGTGAGGCGGCTGTTAAGTGAGACACACCCAACTTTTTTGCTGTGGTTGTTAAGTGCATTCACACAGTTGCTAAGCAAATTCAGTTTCCACTATAGACTTTGCTTGTTGGAAACCAGTTGGGAAAGTCATAAATGGCAATCACAGGACCCAGGACACTGCACCCATCATAAACAGGTGCCAGTTGCCAAGTGCCTGAATTTTGATTACATGCCTATGGGACATTGGGATGGTCGTAAGAAGGAGGACCAGTTGCAAGACATGTTTTCAGCACTGTTGTAACTTCGAATGAAGGGTAGTGAGTTTAGGACTACCTGTAACAACCACCTGCAAGGCCTTGCCTTCAACGGTGAAAAAGAGCCAGAATGCTCAAGTCTCACCACATCCTCTAAAACTCCTAGCCAAGCCTTGACAGTAAAATGCAGCTACCCAGACTGGAGGTGACCTGCCTCTCTTGAGCAAAAAAAAATAGAATAAAGTTATCAAGTTTGGTGCCCTCTTCCTCATCTTGATATGAGGGTTAATGGTTTGCTTAGGCCAGGGGTAGGCAACCTTGGCTTTTATGACTTGTGGACTTCGACTCCCAGAATTCCTGAGCCAGCATGGCTCATCTTGGAAATCTCTCCCTTTCCCCTCAGCATGGCTGGCTCAGGAATTCTGGCAATTGAAGTCCACGAGTCATAAAAGAGCCCAGGTTGCCTACCCCTGGCCTAGAGCCTAGGCCAGGGGTAGGCAACCTTGGCTCTTTTATGACTCGTGGACTTCAACTCCCAGAATTCCTGAGTGAGCATGGTTGGTTCAGGAATTCTGGGAGTTGAAGTCCACAAGCCATAAGGTTGCCTATCCCTGGCCTAGGCCCATCAAATGTTTAAGCCACATTAAATCCGTGTTTCCTAAATCACTATGCTACAACTGCAAGCAAAAATAAGAAAAGGTGCCCTGGAGAATGTGGAAAGCATGTTCAGCACACAGAAAGTGGGCCAACTGCCTGGCCAGGTTCTGTGATTTAACCAACCCCTTGATCTGTAGACCCCCCGCCTAGATGAGACGAAGCTTTACAAGATGGAGATATATATTTTTTTCTCTGTACTGTATCTGAAGCTCAAGAAATTGGGATTTTTGAAAGGTTGGCAATCCTGGTGACTGTAAATTCTAATTCACGGAGAAAGGATGCAACAGATAAGCTCCAACATGGGCATGTAGATTCACTATAAAAAAAAAAAAATCCAGTGTGTTGTTCCTGAGCCACTGGCAAAGATTTCTGGCTTCCCAGAAATCACTGGAAGAAGCTAACTGAAGACTCAGTGCTGCAGATCAAGCCACAGATCCTGTGGCTGGCTCAGACATTACTAGCCTTTTTCTGGACTGGGTCATAGAACATACAGAATCATAATGTGCCTTGTTTGGTTTATGACCAGCTCTTTGAAGGGTTCCAAACAGACTTCTGTTTTGAAATGCCACATTCAGTTAAACTGTTCCCAGTGTTTTTCAATCTTGGCAATATTAAGGACTGTGGACTTTTAATTCCCACGCTGGCTGGGGCAGCATGGAAGATGAAGTCCATACATCTTAAACTTGCCAAGGTTGAAAAATACTGTAGAGACAGTTTTGCTAGCTGGCTCTGGCCTTGCGGTTCCACAAAAGGGAGCAAACTGCGGCTCTTGCATAATTTTTAACAACATGTTCTTGAACGAATTGGGCCACCTGGGTTAGGATTTACAAGACTTCATCGCCATCATTAGAAGATCACAAGCTGGTCCAGAAGCAATGCTACATCATAATGTGGCTAGTTTCCTTTCGGCCTAGTAGGCTATGGAAACTCGGCCAGTTCTGGCTTGTGCAATAAACCATATTGGCCTAATAAGATGCATGAATCAAGGTACAATTTGTTCGTTCTGTTCTTCTCCCCATTACTATCTCCTCTAGGGGTACATAATTATAATCTAAAATACTCTGTGACTCAAATGAAGTGCTGCAGTCCCCAAGAGCTTTATTTGTTTAGTTCATATTGTTTTTTTTGCAGGAACTCCAGATGATCTCTCCTCCCCCCCCCCACCCCCAGCTATGCATCAATGTGACTCTGTGGGCTCCCTTGAGCAAGGGCGGACTTTTTTATCTGTACCTTCACTCTTTACAGCACATCATCTACGTTCGCACATTGTCCAGACCTACAGCTTACTGAATCACAGCTGAGTTCACACAACCACTGAATCACTGTCTGGATTTGCACAATGCACTGAGTTAGAAACCCAGCAATCACCCTTTAGTCTAGTATGTGCAAAGGCTTGTCTTTAAGGTA